GTGTCAGATATTATTTTTCTACTATAATGTTGGGGACCAGATGTAAATTGCTGGTGTCAGTTTAACGTTCAATCAACGAGGGTAAACTGAAGATGCAGGAAAAGTCAGCATCATTTAAAATTATCCTGAATCAATTGAAATCGCAGATCACATTCACTAGGGCAACAGTAATAAAAATGAGTATATTTGGGAACACGGAAACATTGCATGAGCATAAGCTAATTAAATGACAAAACAGACAGACATATAAATCAAATGAGTGAATAGTAAATCTCTTATTACAAGATAGTTCGTGTTGCGATTCCTTCACAGAACGTTGCAGAACCAACCCCTGCATTGTTTGGCTGTTGTTGTTTTTCTATGCGAAGTTTACATTCAGTAATTTGTAATTGCTCTCTGAACGGTTAGCTTTCGGTATCACTGTTGAAACCAGTGTAAAACTTATCGTTCGAAGCTGGGATCGAGTCCGGCACCCCGGCATTACAAAGCACCTTCGCAACGTCTAAGCAACCGACAAGATAGACATAACTAAAGCTGGTATTACAGAATAGCTAGATAATTCAAATTTGTATATAGTATTCCCAGTTATACATCACTCACAAAGTGGCGATTGGTCAATAAAATATAGGACTAGCCTTATATGCCCAATAGGTCTAAAAGGGTGGAAAAAGGTCCTTTACTTCACCTTTTATTCCTAATTATGTATGTACTATCAGTATGAAACATACTGCATATTCTACATCTAATTCATGTAACTTTTTGCAAGATAGTATCACAATCAAAATCTCGTTAGAGCTGCAGAATGCTTCTGGAATAACATATTTTACCATACCGCAGCCAGTAATCAGTGATGAATTATATTTCCTTATTATGTTTATTAGTCAAGGTATTATTTGCCAAGCTATTACCGTACTTGGGATCTTCGGTAATATAATTAACTGTATTGTTTTTGTGAAACAAGGCTTCTCAGATAATATTAACGTAAGTCTTTTGGGCCTCACTATCTCAGATCTGTGCTCTCTCATCTGTATAATGTGGACTTGTCTGTTTTTTAGCCCTGTTGTAAGAGATACTGATTTATTCTCTCCAGACGTGCATATTTTATCAGGTACTTGGCCTCATATTATATTCACAAGAATTACGGGATGGATAACAGCGTTTATCAGTCTGGAGAGATGCGTCTGTGTTATTAAACCATTAAAAATCAAAACGATGTTCACAAGAAAGAGACATTTCAATGCAATGATAGTCATATATGCTGTAACTATTGCATCTGCGATTCCTGCATACGTTTCTATGGGGCTTGAGTGGACTTTCTTCCCTGCAGAAAATAAATCACGTATTTCACTAATTCAAAAACTAGATGAAAATGGTAGAAAAGTAACTGATGCTCTATCGTATGCTGTCAGTGGTGTGTTGATTCCGGTTTCATGTGTTGTATCCGTTGTCGTTCTCACCTCCATCCTGGTAGTCCAGCTCAACAAGACAGCAGCATGGAGGAAGTCTGTCTCCCCAGGTGTGATTCGCGACACACAACAGCCCAATGCAAAAGTCGTCATCAACACTAAGGAAATGAAAATAGCCAAAATGGTGGTGATTATGTCCCTCATTTTCATTGCTTCATTCTTTCCTGCCGCCGGTATATTTTTTACCGGAATCGTTGAACCGACATTTAATTATGACAAGTTGAACAGGAGGTTAGTGTTTGTGACTCTATCTGTGTCATTTACCTCAGAAGTTCTCAACTCCAGTGTCAACACGTTTGTGTATTTCAGAATGAGCACCAAATACAGAGAAACTTTTCTGAAGCTGTTTAGATTGAATAGACTTCCCAACGGTTACTACAGAAATGATTGACTGCAGTAGAGCTGTAATGTTTTTAGATAAACAAAACGAAAACATAAAGTATTATGTGTCAGCTTTTCAAAATGAGTCCTTTTTTTCGCGTTCACCAACTGTAAACTTCAGAGGAAAGTTATGGTTGTTTGTCCACTTCTGACCTTTGATCTTGTTCAAGCACTTAAACTTTGCCTGTACATCTGTTTTGCAGAACTGGCTTATTGTTATGCAGATTGTTGTTTCCTCGCCTCTCAAGCAGATACACTCTGACTTCGAAGGAGTACAAAACCTGTCAAAATAAAGAAACAAAAGATTAAGTGACGACTAGCCTTCATCGGCAAACAACGATAAAAAAAAAAGCACAACACAAACAAATGAGGAACACTTAAGACCGTAGACACAGTATAAAAACAATCTGACATTGTAGAGTCATGCCGTGATATGATGCGGCACCGTAATGAGGCTGCATAAGCAGGAAAATAAAAATACAGCTTGCAATTTTTTAATCTGACAGTGAGTAGCTTTTTGGAGCGGAGTTTCGAATGCTTGCATTATACTGCGAAAATCTACTGCACGGGCCTGCTGACATTATTGATCGGTACTATACTACTAATGACTGAGCCCATTACTCTCTTGATAGTCTGGAAACGGTTCTGACTTCCATGTCTTTCTGTACTTGTAGGTTCGAATCCCCTTTGCCGATACTGAATGATAGGTTCAGAACTTATAACTGTTGTCACATGATTGTGTCGCTGTGTTCCCCCACCCCCTCTCCCCGCCCATTTGTTCATACAACCATCCCAAAAGAATGTCCCTCTACCCTCAAGTAAAAGCCTGAAGTTCCTTGTTTGGGAATGAACCAGCTTTCCTCCTTCTGCTATCGAGTCTCCAGCGCTAACAAACTTCCTATTGATTCGTTATACCACACCAAACGCCCTTGCCATCATGTAAGTTCTTAGTATCCAGTTCATGGCAACCATCGGTGACCGGGTCAACCATTGGCTCGTCTGTAGACGACTTCGTTGCTAGCCGGGTCAGTATTTGGGTCTGTCTCCTTTGACTGCATCAACACTGCGGGAGTCCTTTACCGGGCTCTTGGTGGTGTGTGCACTGATAAGCCATTTTATAGGGCAAAAATTACCCATTCACAGTTATAATCTAAAGCTCCCCTTTGGCAATGCTGGTTGAAGGTGACGGTTTTTTTCCCCTAGTAAAGCACCTCATGACAACTAGAGTTGCGTTTTTGCCCATTTTCACAGTCATATATTTATGGGCAGGGGCTTTTTCTCCCCCAACACCCCCCAACCCGGGTAGTGGTTTTTTTTTTCTCCGCCCCCCCCCCTCCCCCACCCCCACCCCCTTATCCAGATGGATGCGTCTGGTAATGCTCTCTGTTCAATCAGGACTGCGTGGTCTCAAAGCATAGTGTCCGTCTCGAGTGCTGGAGGTCCAGGTTCAGGACCCAGTGAAGGCTGGGTTGTTTTCACGTAGCCTTCTAGTAATTTCCTCTTGGTCCCTGTGTAGTAAGATCAGACGCCCGTTTGTATTGTTGCGCACTCCAAAAAAAAAATCCCTTGGCAGTTGGAAATCAAGTTGCAAAATGTGGAGTTAAAAGTATGTCCAAAGTATTTCAGGATCCTCGCCGGTGATACAGAGTTCGTGCACTGTGCTGAGATTGTTCAGACTCAGGCTTGAGTTAGAAGTATAACGGAGTACTAATGAGTTACTACCCTGGTGCCATGATGTTAATCCGTTGTTTAAACCTAAACCTAAATCTATACTCAAACTTTAGTCTCTAAAACAGCGGTTTCCTACTATGTTGACTCGCAAAGCCTTATTTATAATCAATTTCTTAGGGTAGTCCCTCAAGCACACTGCTGTAACTTTTGCCTCATAGGTTAAAGGTTTCTGGAAGTAATGTTGCAGAGGAGAGACAGAGAGGGCTGGCTAGTAATTGAATTTAATGCAGAGATGTATAAACAATTGCAAAATGTAGGTGCAAATGACGTGCATTTTTAAAAAACTTAGAAATTTGCCATAATAGCCGTTCTCTCTCTCTCTCTCTCTCTCTCTCTCTCTCTCTCTCTCTCTCTCTCTCTCTCTCTCTCTCTCTCTCTCTCTTGTTGTACCCCACCAGGACATCACACAAGCGACAAAAACCCGGTGACACAAAGTGCCACCATGCGGATGAGGATCACCCGTGAAGAGGTCCCAGAAATCCCTTTCAGCTGTTCGGTCATATTTATGGGCGGACTATATTCAGGGCTCCCGGCAAAAGCTAGGATGAGGCTACAAATAACCAAAAATTGCACTCTACACGGGGACGATTTTTCTACAATAAAGCCGTTGTATTCTCGTCTACCACCAGTACATCAGGATTTTGTTAACATTTGGTCACAAATACCAGTTCTTCCAAATTTTTTTTTTTTTTTTACCATTTTCATTGTAGTAAATTTTATACTTTTGATGGGAGCAGCAATATTGTCAATAAAACAACGAAAAAAGTTTAATGAGACACCGGTGGTGCCTAAAGTTCAAAGTTGGGTACAATATTTATAACGTACCCCATGACGTCACGGAAGACATTTAAAAAATTTCCGGGGGGGGGGGGGGGTAAGGTTGGGGTGATTTTTCGCTTCTAGAGTGCATCGCAAAAGCACGCGCTTTTTGGCTCCTCTTATGACGTGTGATTACCGCTCGTCAGCAGTCTTCATCTTTGCTGCGTCTTGTTGCTACAGTTAGTAGTATCTGTACAAGACAAGGAGGCCTGCCTAGCCTTTCTGCAACAGAACGAGACGCTGCAGAAACAACCATCAGATATATGGTGTATTATCCCTGTCGGAAAGACACAGGGTCGTTTGCTGGTGTCGAAAGTCCACCTGTCGTCTGGACATACCCCTACGGCCAATTTACGGACCTCTTTCTGGCGACTATACCGACTAGATGTCTGGAACTCACGAGCAGCCGCTACCGCATCTCCTGCAGCTTCCTCCTTTTGATTTGCTTGTGAGTTATTATTGCTGTCGGAAAGACACACGACCATTTTCCGGTGTCGAAAGTCCACCTGTCGTCTGGACATACCCGTGCGGCAAATTGCTGAACTTTTTCCGGCGACTATACCGCTAAACTAGGTGGCCTGGACTCACGAGCAGCGGCTACCGCATCTCCTGCAGCCTCCTCCTTTTTATTTGCTCGTGAGTCCCAGCCATCTAGTTTAGCTCCCTCCGCCGCGCGTAGCGGCGCGTGGGATACCCTCGGCGGTGGCGGTATAGTCGCCGTAAAGAGGTCCGCAATTTACATGTGACTGAGGCCCTGGCAGGGTATATTTATGGCCTCAATAATTTGTGACCGTTATTTTTTTTTTTTGAAGTCACGTAGGGATTGAACACACATAAAAATAAATATAAAAAAACATTTTACAACCCAAAAAAAAAGTCAGGTAGGGATTGAACGCAGCACGTTTCATTTATAGGGCGGATATGATAATCACTGAAAATTGCGCATCATCAAGCAACCGACTGCGCACCAACATTCAGATAAATGCGACACCAAAATACACTAGAAGATAAACCACAGCATCAGTGTTGCCACTTTGGATCTTTTATATCCAAATTTAGATCTTTTTCATTTCATTTAGATACTGTTTTTGACGTTTAGATCGTAAATATGTTTCTAGATATTTTTCATATGGAGTTAGATATTTTATATATTTTTTTTTTCTTTTATTGTCAATTTAATAATTACTGTGTAAAATATTTACTACAATATTTTTGTTTTGGTCTGGCACGTACATTGTGACAACTGCCATTACTTGAACTTTGAACTCTCACTGGGGTCAACGCACAAATATCTGGCAGCCCAGGTACTGATTAATAAAAACGCGCGTAAATCATACTAACTTTTTTTCAACCGTATCCTCACTGTGCTGACTTTGCGTTTCTTTTTCATGTGATTTAAAAAAAATAATTGCTCACCTTCTTATGTGGCTTTCACTTTGAAAAAAAAAACCTTTCAACATGCCAAAAGTAAAATATGAGCAAAAAATTTGGAAAGAGTGGTTGCATGATGATAAAATTAAAAACTGGGGATATGACCAAAGCTTGTTGTAAGTACTGCAAGTGTGAAATTAAAGCGAAAATACAAAACTCAAAGAGTCATGCAGAGACTAAAAAAGCATAAAACTGCAGTTTCATTTAAAGATATTTCACCGCTGACATCTGTTTTCAGAATTATACTGATAAATGAATCATCAAAAGTTGAAGTATCAGTAGCAATGTTTTTAATTTGTCACTGCGCAATTTCAAACTGTGACCATTTGATAGATTTGTAAAAAATCTTGGACTAGTTCAATTTGAAAAGTATGATGAAGAAAGTATAGTTTAGGAACTGAAGGACCTTTTAATCAGCAA